AACCTTGGAAAATCAAATTTGCATGTATTTAGAGAAAACATAGATCCAAGGTTTCTAGGGTTGCATGTACATCGTAGGAGTGTTAGAATGCTCAAAACCCAACAGCAGTCAGATTAGGGATTCCTAGTTCAAAACCCTAATAGCCTCACTATATAAAGACCCCTAGGGCACCCAAAAACGTGGCTAAGCATTCCTTGGAGTTTCTTGGACGTTTTTGGTGCCTTCTTCTCCTCTCCTAAGTCATCCTCTTGCTCTTGGTATTTGTGAGCCATTAGAGGTGTGACACTTGTGACACTAAGCTTTCAGAAGCCAATTACAAGAAGGAATAGATTGTTATTGCTACATAACAATCGAAGGTAAGATCTAAACTCTATATTATGATAATATTGATTATTGTATGCTAGATCTAGGGTTTATGGCTTTGGATGATTATTGCATGTTTATTAGACAAACTAGATCCAAATCTTTAGGGTTTGCATGTACACCATAGGAATGATGTAGTGCTCATATCCCTTCAATTTCTGCTATGAACCCAAACCTAAACTTAATCTAAATCGAATTCTTATCTGAAACTGATGCCTAAACTTGACCTCAAGCAATTTATGATATGAAAATTCATTTTGGAAGGTAGAGGAATCAATAAAATAACCAAGAACATCTGAAAACCCTTCTCAGAGATCAAAAATCCAAAAGCAAATCAAAAACCCAATATTTCTAAAAAAACACCAGATGAAGATGATGAAGATCAGGTACCGATTTGTGTGTGCGTGTGGGTTTTTAAATTATTCCCTAGATGATCAAACAACCATCGAGATGATCGGAGGGAGTAAGGAGCCGTGGAGAAGATAAAGATAGAGACAATGAGCATATGTGTAAACGTAAGGGAAAAGAAAAGTATAGGTGGCGACAGACAAGGATTCGAGAGCAAAAACAAAGCCCTGAATCACCCATTTCTGCCTCTGTTGGAAGTGAATGTATACCCCTCCGTCAATTTCTTTCCACAACCCAGTTCAACAACAAATGAACCATCGGTAGGCCTTCTGTTCATGTCCCTACAACTGATTTTGGGGTGAATAAGATTTTAGAACCTTTGATTGTGAGATAAATGTGAGATTGCTTTTTAGGGTTCTTAAGAAGAAAGGGGTGAGAGTTTGACTGGAACACTATGTGTGGAGAGAGAGAGAGAGAGAGAGAGAGAGAGAGAGAGAGAGAGAGAGAGAGAGAGAGAGAGAGAGAG